TATGGAAGCCCCCCCCCCCGACCAGCAAAGCCCGACCAAGATCCCCCCATCTTTTTTTCCCCCATCCCCCTACCCCCCCCCCCTCCACCATCAAAAAACTCCCACCTCAACAAGTAGCGTAACATAAAAAGGAAGGACCTGGAGGAACAGCTCAGTATCAGGCTGCTCCTCGCCCTGATGAAGTGGACTGCAAGGCCCACGAAACGTTGGCACATCAAGAATGGACCAAGACATGGAGAAAACCCGCGAAGCACAGATTAGTTATATAGAAAGCACCCATGGAAGCATCAAGAAGAATATTGCAATATATTGTTGCAGTATTATAATTCAGTAAATAAGTATGCGGTCCCGCCACAAAAGAGATACGCTTCTCATAAGGAGAAAACATCCAGGAGTTCTATAAGGACATAAATCGAGTTAACGAATCTCTGAAGATTCCTTTTTTTGGATGCACTTCTTAGGTCCCTGAATATTTTTTGATCATAACTTTATCGTATGTATTTTAGAATATGATACTAAACAGTAATATGTTAGCAATTAATAAAACTAGAATAATTATTGAAATATTGCATAATGTTACAGCAATATTTCTCTAAATATTGCAGTAATATTTAATTTTTGCGGATGTAGGAATATTGATACAATATTGCAACAATTTTATGAAATATTGCAATCTTTCAAAATAATATTCTTGCAATATTTCGTGCTGTAGGAGTTACAAGAATCAGTAACGTTTAAAAAATGTTATTAAATGTTAAGATAATCCTAAAATATTAAAAATATGATACAGTAGAGAGCGCTTAAGAATCGGTCAAAGTTAGGAGTTAGCTAAATAATATGTATAATATTCTAAATTCATGAATTTAATTAATCTCAAATGTGACTGCGCCGAAACGTTCGGACATTAATAATACAATCAATCTGAGAAGTCTCTGGTCGAGCTGGCTAAGACATTCGCTCCGGAAAATTGAGAGGTTCCAGGTTCGAATCCTGGCTGAGATAATATTTTTCGCAATAAAAGTTTCTCTATTCGCAATTGCGGCGTACAGTCAGTTGAGGTTAATTAAATTCATGAATTTAGAATATTATTCGTAACTTCCAATTTTGACGGATCCATAGACGCTCTTTACTATATTATGTTGTTACATTAACTCGATCGGTTTCTATTTAATTTAAATACGCCGCCTGGTTGCGCGTTCTTTCATATTAGTTATTGCGAAGAATATTTCCGAAGCCTCAGTGATCAAGTTGGCTAAGACACCCGGAAAGTCGAGAGGTCCCAGGTTCGAATTCTGGCTGAGGTAATATTTTTCGCAATAAAAGTTTCTTATTTGAATTAAAGAGAGGGATTAGATATATTCGCAATTGTCCGAACGTTTCAGATCGCGATTATTAGCGTCTCAGATTGATTGTGTTATTAATGTCTGACGTTTCAGCGCACATTTTTTTACATTTGAGATTAATTAAATTCGTGAACTTAGAATATTATATTATTCCAACTTTGACCAATCCATAGGCGCTCTCTACTATATTATGTTGTTAACTCGGTCGATTTATTATATTAAAAATATTTTTAAATATCAATTTTTTAAAATAATTTTATTAATTTTTTTGAAACTAAAATTAAATTGAAATAATAAAAGATACAAGTCAAAGTTCTTTAACGCTAAATTACAATAAAAGACAAATATAAATTTTTTTATTATCATTATATTAATGACATTATATTGGGTGCTCATAAAGATCAAATTGATGTGATTCTTGACATGTTCAACTCTTACCATGACAAAATTAAATTTACCATAGAATATTATGATGATGAGGGCATTAACTTCTTGGACGTGAAATTAATAATAGAAGATGGGAAAATTATTATCATTTTTTAAAAATCAATAAATTCTGACAGGTAACTGACTTAAATTTTAATTTCAACCATCCAACTTATCATAAAAAAGATGTTATCATTGATCAATTTAACAGAATATTATTCTTGTCACATCCAAAATTCCATGAAAGAAATACCAATTAATTGAAACATTAACAGTTATCCATTGGATATAATTTTCATCACCATTAACAACAGAATAAAAACCTTATTCTATCGACTTAATACAAATAAAGTGAATGATGCCAAAAATCATAACTCCACATCCACTATTTCTAACAACGTCTTTTTATCATCCCATATCTTAATAACATCGAAAAAATTCAAGAACATATCTGATAAACTCGGATTAAAAATTGGTTATAAACTGATGAATAAACTCGAATAAATTCATAAAAACAGGAAAAGATCGCTTTAATAAAGAAGGTCACTGCCGTGTATAAAATAAATTGTTTAGATTGTGAATCGTCATATGTTGAGCAAACAAAAAGAAAACTAAAAACTCGGATTAAAGAACATAGAGCTGATTAAAAAATCTTCCGAAGCGATGTCATACCATTAATTTGACCATGAACACAAATTGGATTGAAATAATATCATAATCTTGGATTCTGAACAATCAATATATAAAAGAAGAATCTCGGAAATGATACACATAAAAAGTCAAAAATTGGATTTAAATAAGCAAAGCGACACAGAAAGATTGTTAGATATGTATCTATTGAACAAGGAATCCTTCTTTACTCTCACTCCTTAATTTTTCTATCTTCTATTTTAATAAACCGAAGTACAGACAGATAACTTATAGAAAAACACACGGCTTAGGGCTAAATAATCTCTGTCATACGTTGATGACAATAAAGTATTAACGGTCTTGCAGTGAACATAAGTATGCTTCTAACAAATAGATTTTAATCATGAGTTATAAAGCAGTAATACTAATGTTATCTTATTATTAGAATCTAAGAATTACATGTCCACTCAATCAAGATGTAAGGCCGATTTGCGTTGACATAGTTTCGAATTATAAATGACAAATAATCGAGCCTTGCGTTGAGTTTAGAGTCTCATGAAAAAATTTTTAATAATCTTGTTAACTAAAAACATTAGACAAGTTTTCATGTAATTTGCGTGAATTTAATTATTAATGATTTATTAATTATTTGTAATACGACATATTGAAGATGGTCAGATAGTGACCGAAACGTATATGTTTTATAAGTTTGAAGATTTTGAATTTTAATATATGACATATCGCTTATAACAACTTGCATTGTGGTTTTTATGCTTCTTTTTTCATATTGTTTACAAGTATAAACCACGTTTATTAATTTAACAAATATAAAATTTTATTTTGAAAAGAACAAACGTTTCAACTTTAATTGGATCACTTTCAATGTTAAACGACACATTAAATTTAAATTTGGATAATTATTGAGTTTAACTTCCGCACTTCAAAAATCAATGAAATTAGGCTTATTCGACACGTTTTTGCATGAAATGACAGAATCTGGCAAAAAAAAAAACGTCGCTCTTGTGATCCGAGATATTAAGCGTTAATGTTGATGACTATTGAGATTAGAAAATCTATCACACTAACTTAATATAACGTTATGTATACGTACCAATGCGTACTTTAGTTAATATTTATTCAAATCGCTACTTCACTTCCGATTTTTATGAAATAAGGCTCATTTGACATGTTTTCACTGAAAATGAAAGTCTGCTCTACTCTTGATATATATGAAAAGTTATAAATTCGGGAGGGGGGGAGAATATTCTAAATAATTACCATTTACTGCTTTAAAAACACATGCAAAAACGTGTCGAATGAGCTTTATTTCATTAAAATCGGAAGTGAGGTAGCAATTCTGAATAAATATTAACTAAATGTTGTATGTATACATAACGCTATATTAAGTCAGTGTGACAGATTTCCCAACCTCAATAGTCATCAATTTTAACGCTTAATATCTTGGATCAGGGTAGAGCGACGCTCCTTTTTTACCAGATTTTTTCGTTTCATGCAGAGGTGGACAGTATTTGGAAAACATGTATTTAAAATATGTATTTAAATACATTTTTGTATTTTCATATTTGAATACTTTTTTTAGAGTATTTTGTATTTTGCATTTAAATACTTTTTTTTTAGTACTTTGTATTTAAATTTGTAAATACTAAATGATGTAAAAATTTTTTTGATTAAAAAAAAAGTCAAAATCGTACTATTATTGACTCAATCTAAAATGCGTTCCATTCCACACATGATATGCATCATTTATCTTTGTTTACATTTGATGGAACAATAACCTCTCTTCTCTCAGGAATGGACAGTATTTGAAATACAGTATGTATTTAAAATACATATTTAAATACATTTTTGTTATTGAGAGTATTTTGTATTTGAATACTTTTTTTAGAGTATTTTGTATTTTAATACATTTTGTTTAGTATTTTGTATTTAAATACAATTTTTTGAGTATTTTGCCCACCCCTAGTTTCATGCAAAAACGCGTCGAAGTTTAATTTCATTGATTTTTGAGGTGCGGGGGTTAAACTGAATAATTATCTAAATTTGTCAGTACCAATAATTAAGAACGGAACGTAGTAACAAATTTTAAAAAGTAATACTCGCTGTTAAACAAACAATTTTGTAGATTTATAGAAGCTCTTACAATCTTCTGTAACTTCTATTGTAGAGATAAAGAGATGTATTCGCCAAAAATTAACGCTGGTTAAAAGTTCTCATAATGTAAAATCAAAGCAGGACATTGGTTAATTATTTAAAAATTTTTATATAATGTGATTACTTAATATGAAATTGAATTATAATTTGATACAAGCTTATTAAAGCATGGCTCAATAACTAACAGTAATCCGAATTAATTTATAAAAAAAGATTGTACTACATTTAATTACAAAATTAAAATAATTAAGAACAAGCAGTGAATTCGGTGTGATATAAACTGACGCAGTAATTATAATTAATCTCAACTACGAGGATCGTTTGAAAAATTTTGAGCCTCAATATGAACATTACTCGTTAAAACCCATTCTGATACTACAATTGTACATGTTTTGAAAGATACCTGTGAAAATTGTAGTCATTTTGAACGCTCAGTTGTTGTTTAACAGTTATTTGTGTAAGTTCATGTCAGTGTTTTTGTAAAAATGAAAAAATTGAATATCGGCGGTTGCCATGACAAAAATTTATGAATTGCGATTGGAATTGATTGACCACCCACCATATTCACCAGATCTAGTTTCTAACGACTTTTTCCTATTTCCTAGAGTCAAAGTTTGGATGGGAGGACAGAGATCTTCATTAAACAAAAACACTGACATCGACTAGCACAAATAATTATCACACAACTGAGTGTTTAAAATGGCTACAATTTTCACAGGTATCTTTCAAAACATGTACGATTGTACCAGAATGAATTTTGATGAGAAATACCATTTTCATATTGAGGCTCAAAATTTTTCAAACGACCTTCGTAATTGTGACATTCTTGTAAGTAAGAAATCAGAGCCAGTTGTAAATGTTAACATAATGCGTTATGAAATAAGAATAAATTAAAGAACCCAATAAAAAGAGGAGAATCTAGTAGAAGTGGTTAATAATTCGTTCGTGTAAACTACTATATAGTCTGTGAACCAGAATTTCGTAAGTACAGATTATAAAGCTTTTATATCAAATAAGTACTATTACGATATTGACAGTTCTGACGCCATATCCAGTAAGAAATGATAATAGAATCTACATCGAATCGACGGGAAATTATCAAATCGATTCGACATCAATTTCATTGTCATTTCTCACTGGGTATTGAATTAAGAAATGATAAAGAATTGACTTCAATTTAAATGATTTTTTGTTTTCGGCAAGTCGACCTCACAGACACGTATTAATGCGTATATTTTAATCCTGAAAAAGGATTTTCAAATCCTCTATAAAAGATGAAAAAAGTAATTGTAAATATACAAAAATTGTAGCATTTATAGTTAATAATGCAGACTTTTGGGTCCTCTCATTAAGATCTGATATTGAAAGTGAAAAGTGTAATTTCTCCTCCCCTGAAGAAATCGAATACACGTATTTATTGCATGGATATTGTGGGCTATTTAAGAAGGTTGAATATGATTGGTTCTCAAACAGGAGGAATAAAACCAAATCAAACCAACACAGTGGGTTAAAGAACCGATCTAGTTTAACTACTATCATAGGACTAAAATTGTAGTTTAAAACCAAATAATGAAATATCTTTTGAATAAAGATTTCTATTATAATTGATAAATCATCGGCTTTATTTAACTCTTTCCTCGATATTTCACTCTCTCTTAATATTTACTCTCTCTTACAATTAGTGTAATTTTGTGTCACCTTGATCTAATTCTAAAGTTTTCAGTTTTCTATCAGTTTTTAAATTATTAAAGCATAACTGAGAGCGAAATAAATAAAGATTTTATTACGTGAATAAAGATTTTATTAATTTTATATCAATATACCAATTTTTCCTTGAGTGTAGCGTCTTTATTATGATAATTTTCGGTTCCTATAAGAAGAAAAATGTGCAAGAAGATATAGAAATAAAACAATCTCCGAACAGTCACGAAAACTCTGAAAATTTTGTCTTTCCTTTTATATAAAAATATTGATACTGCTAAAATGTTTATATCTTCATTTATTTTTATGTTTAATTTATAGAATTATATCTTCTCAATTAATTATAATACAAACAAAAAATAAAATAAACATAACTTATATTTATCTTATTACTTAAATTAATATCAATTTAAATATTTACAATTGTAATAATATAATAGTAATTTCTTAATTTATTATACTTTAGTAGTTAATGATAAACTTAAATATGTTTCAATTTGCAAAACAATTATTGATCGTTAACATGTACCAATAGTATTAATAATATTCTTATAGAGAAGTAATAATTTAAAAAAAATAATATGTATATAATTATACTTTTTAGGAATTTGGCCACATTTTGTTAGCTGTAAGCTATCTACCTACTGCAGAAAGATTAACTATTAACATTATGAAATTACGCGATATTAAATTTATACCAACTGGCTTGAGTTTAAATGAATTTAGTAAGTATTATCACAATACTAATATTTTAGGAAAATTATTGGAATTAGTACAGGAAGGCGAAAATAATGTGCGATATATATTTTACACGAAATAGCTAGAAAAAAACATGAAATATTTTCTTCTTCTCATACATGTCTACTAACGGATATTTGCGCTACATTTTCCATTTCTTCTCCATTCATTGCCATATGGAGATCTTCTACATGTTTGGACTCTGTCCAGTATCTTATATTCCAAAGTTTTTCCGTCTTGTTTCTTTTCTTTCTTCGATTACTTCCTTCAATTATAATCAACTGTAGTTGGTGTCTTGTGTTGTGCATGATGTGTTCAAAGTATGCAATATTTCTCTTTTCTATTATGATGAGTATCTCTCGGCTTCTGTTTATTCGTCTCAGAAAGTGAACCATTAGATCTTATTGTATTTTATCTTAAGAGGATGCTGGAGTGACGGCCGAATTTGATCCATAATACAGATTTTTTTAATTTCAAATTAAAAAGTCGATAATGGTAACATCTTTAATTCATTTCTTATATTATCGTTCTATCTTACTCACTTGTTAATCACTAGTCATCGCGATTCCCAATGTGATTGCTAAGTGAGAAATAAACAGTTTGTTCTGAAAAAAAAGAAAAAAAGGGGAGAAAGAAAGAGGAGATTCTAATACATAAATTATTATTGGCATTTCTGTGAGTTGATCGTCAATTGACTTAATCCTTTGAAGCATGGTGGTAACCTACGTTACCACCTAAACTTCTTTTTTGGTCGTTTATTTTTTAATTGATTTAGGTTTAATTTTTTCCTGATGTTTTAGAAGTAGAAAACTATTTAAAAAATAATTTAGTAGTCCTTATTATTTATTGTAACAGTTTTATAAATAAACAAAGATAGAAAAAAATCCTTTTTTTACGGAAAAATTTATTTTTGGCCAGATTTTTTGATGTTTTAGTTTGAAATAATATATATATATATATATAATAAATAATATATATATAGAGTTCTCGAAATGAAAATACAATGAAAAAATATATGGACAATGAGAGCGTCAATACAGCGCGGAAATTGGTGCGTAATTATAAGACAAAATTGTTCGCAACTTGCTGAAGATGGTTTGAAGCAAACTGAAACGTAGAAGGAAATTTTGTATCGTCATGTACAATATATTATGTGAATTAATTGAAATTCTTGTTATAATTATGCACCAATTTCCGCGCTGTATTGACACTCTCATTGCTGAAATGCATAAATTGAGTTTTATATTAGGTGTTGGAATTAATTCGTAGCGTTTTACAAGTGATGGGAAGTACTTTCATTAATGTATTTTTTAATGCTCATGTGAAATAAATAACATTCTTTCATTAAAAACGCTACGAATTAATTCCAACACCTAATAATTTTCAGAAATCTTTCCAAAATTCATTCATCCAAAATCTTTCGAAAAATTCATTTCAGAAATTTGGATCTCTAATTTATAATTTAAACCTTTCAAAGTCTTGGAATTCAAATTTCATACATAATTCACTTTAAGAATTTTTAATCCATCATTTTGAATCCGCCATTTTGAATGCAATATTTTTATATTTTGACTTTAGATTCGTAATCAGCGACCTGTAAAAAATCCCTGTATACCAAATTTCACAGAAAAAAATTAAAAAGAAAAATATATGTTTCAAAGGGTTAACTAAAAGAGTGTGAAAGATGTCCTATAAGTAAAGATTAATCGTTCGATGAACAGGCTACATTCCAAAATCTATCGTGGGAAAAGTATTGCAACCTTATAGCTGACGTGTATACAGTTATATACAGTTGTGGAACGACTGCAACACTTCTTTTTCAATGAGTTTCAGAACTCAAGGTCATTCGACTGATTAGTCCATTGGAATTGACCAATCACATCTGCCATCAAACGATTGGTCTAAATGCGATTGGTCAATTTCAATGGATTAATCAGTTGATTAAGTTAATCGGAGTTTGGTTAAAGTAACCCTCAGCCTTGTTCATAGATTGATTGAACGTAAATGATTAGATCTATAAATAAGAACCAATCACTCGGTCAGCAGGTTTCGAAATCCATCGAAAAAAAGTGATGCAAGCATTCTCACGACTGTATATGTACTAAACAATTGTCAAAAATCACCTAACGAATCACTCTACCTGCAATTATCTGGAATGTTTCTTTTTCTAAAAAATAAAATAAAAATTTAAGAAATTAATAATAGAATAATTCCGATTGAAATCCATTCCAAATAATACATATGTGTACAACAGATATTAATATGTTATTCAGCATCATTAAAATCTTTATAAGATGCCTATGACCATGAAGTTGTTAAAAGGCTAGGCAATTTAATTCGTGATTTTACTACTGTAGTTCAATCGGGTTTGTATTTCAAGACAAAAAATCAATTCAGCGCGCAATTTAAATGACTACATAGGTAGTATGTAAATAATATTATTTAAACATGTAAGATTCAGCATGACGTTAAAGGATTTCTTTCTCTTCTTGTTTTCAGATTTATGTACTAGAAACTCTTGTTTAATGGCTGCGTTCGGAAACATTGTTCGAATGCCTCCGATGCCTCGGATTCATTATCTGTCATTATTTAACATTTAATGTTAAATCGGAGGCATCCGAGGCGACGTTTTCGAACGCAGCCAATATTGTTCATAATACGTATAATATAATACTATACTTATGTATATAAGTACTTATATTTATATACTTACTATCTGCTTTATCTTCTGAATGTACCCATTATCACTATGATTAATATAAAATCGAATAGTTTCATAACATCTATCACGAAAGTTTATATACTATTCAATAAAATTAAAGGACCATTTAAAATCAGCGCTAAAAAAGATCGAAATTCAAAGTTGTAACAATGTGCCCCGAGAAACCGCATCGTTCCCGGCCGAACATCAATCGGATGCCGCTGTATGATATGCAGCAATGTGGGCGCGGTGCGCCCGAATAATTTTAAAAATCGCAAACATCGTTTCGCAGGTACCAGCCGACGTTCCGCGAGAACGATCGAACGCTACCGAGCGCTACCCGCGACAGATTTCGGTACCGTCATACATGTGAGGATACCGCTTGGCGAGAAGCGGTACGAACCGAACAGAGTTTCGCTAAATCCGCAGCGCTACCAAAAATCGGTCATATAAAAGGCCGCGAACAGCCTTTTACAGAGAGGCTTTTTGCTCCGATTCCTATCCAACGACCAGATCCTGACTCGAAAGCAATCCCGATCCGCTACGAGTAGTTTCCTGCCGAGATTTCGGCCGACACCGCGTTCAGGGGGTGAAGCGGAATTCACCTCTGCTGAGCGTTCTCAGTACTTTTGGAAGCCGACTCTCGCTGTATCCGCCGAGTAGACGCGACAAGGGAGTAGGGAGTACTCTGCCTCCGTTGGGCGTTCCCAATAATCGAAAGGCACCACCCGAAATCTTATACCCGACGCGATCGGCAATCAGACAGGGACTAAAGTTTTCTTCGCCGGGTATTCATGCTCATAGGCATCTTCGCCAGTCTTCTCGGCCGCCGGTCGCGCTCATGTATATGTTCAAGTGTGCCATAGGCACATTCGAAATCCGCGACCGTATCGGTGTGTATCCGCGTTAGCATCCATTCCGCGCCGCGACAGGGCGCACTAGCGCTCGGTCCTATTATAACTAGCGTTCGAAATACCAGGTGCGACATACGCTGTCGTTATTATCTTCATTATATTATTCACTTTATTTTATTATATTGTGTTCAGAGCTATCTGTTTGTATCGTATTGAATGTAATAAAGAGTATTTTGTTTCACTTTACTACACAGTTCTATGCGTTATTTGTAAACGCCTCTTCTCTCCACAACGAACCTCTTTCGTTCCCCTGATAAATTGGTCCGACGAGCTATTCCGCGCAACGAAAGTTAGTTGTTCCATCCGTTACGTGTCTTTCTTTAATTAATCAATATCTTTAATAATAAATGATTAATGTCACCGCCGCCGTCGCTGTCGAGTGAGAAGGGATGGGCCGTGCTATGAATTCTCGCGGCGCTGCATATTGGCTTAGACGATTCCTTTTTTAATTTGAAAACTACAGCAAATATCTCAAAATGGTATAAGACTTTTTTATTCTCCTTGATCCATTCTACAGTCCCTATGCGACTCCTACCCTATTTTTGAGACACCCGTACATTTATATATGTATACTAGTATGAAAACTGGAAACAATCAATATAGTTTTATTACTCAAATATTATTGATTAGCTTCACATTTCAAAAATATACATGAGAAAAAAAAATTATAAAATAGTTAAAAAAATATTTGGAGATTCAGAAAATACTCCGAAAAAGCTTGGGAATCTCTGGGAGATTTGCCTATTCGATTTACATACGCCAATTCTTATACGACTCCTGGGCAATTTTTTCTTATAAGAAACAAGTTCATCTCGTGGCGATGCCGTACAAGAAAATAATAGATTTTGCTCGGTTTTTGCTGTCAATTTGCCATCAAGTTATGTCAGCAGGCTCTATTCGGTTTTGCTCGTTATCTGCTGTCATCAGGCTATGCAGGCGGTTTCTGTCATCAATTTGCTGGCATAGCATGTTAGCAGGCTTTGTCATATTTTTGACAGCAGTTTGCTGACAATGTCTGCTGCTACAAATTCTGTATACAATTTGTTGTCTTTCTGCAATCAAAAATTGATAGCAAGCCCAAAATCTGTCTCCCTTTGCTATAAGGGTTGTATGCAACTTTGAAAAAAGTTAACATTTTAACTTATAGGTAGCAGCCGTTTCTTTATACAAAAAAAAATTGTTAATGTTGACTTTTATTTAATTTTTTAGGTTCATCGAGAATGGTTGACTATTAGCTAACTAACAAGTCTATAAAAAGCCTATAAAAAGTTGATTGGTCAAATATTTTTTTCTGAATCGTGTACACAAAATTGAAGAAAATGTGAAAAACAGATTTCGAGAAAAACGCGTTCAAAGTTTTCGATTCAGTTCTTGAGTACTTATAGTGCTCAGAAGCTATTCTAGGGGCATACAATAATCCTTCCTCATGAAATTCATTTTGAGCAATTTGAGCCATTATGAGGTACTCGTGCTTCTTTCATGTTACTAACAAAGGAACTGATCTCACCGATTTTTAATAAACTTCTGATATATTGTAGAGCATAAAAAATACTCAGGTAGCAAGTAGACTATTGTCATTATTTTGACATTAAAATGTCATTATAAGTATCATTTTAAAAATCACGATAAATGATGTTAACTTGTAACCTGGATATTACAACCCATATCTGTGCTCGAAGTTTAGGGGGTGTACCCCCTCAAAAAAATCAGTTTTTTTCTTTCGAAGTATCATTGAAACTATTAGGTGTTGGAATTAATTCGTAGCGTTTTACAAGTGATGGGAAGTACTTTCATTAATGTATTTTTTAATGCTCATGTGAAATAAATAACATTCTTTCATTAAAAACGCTACGAATTAATTCCAACACCTAATATAAGAGATAGAAAAAATTTTCCATGAAAATTGAATGGCTTCAAGAGTTACTTTGAAACTATAATAAACGAATTTTTTAATTATTTATTATACCTGTGTCCGTATATACAAATATTGAATTTATACCAAAGAACTTCGAATTTCGCTCTAAAATTTTAGGGATATATTCTCGAAAAGTTGTACTATCGATTTATGAAAAAAAAAATCGACTTTTTTGATCCTATAAAGCAGGATCCGTTTAAATTAAAATTCCTGACTGGAATGAACTCAAAATCTTTTTCTTGCGGAATTTGAAAACTCATAAATAACTCCAATTCTGAGCTATGCATTTTTTTATTTCCGTATGACAAGGAGGCCACCTGAACAGACGTCATTCTTTATGTTAATAAAAAAGGTTGTAAACAAAACAATCATTTTTTTAAATCGTTCAAAAAATAAAAAATTGTGTTAAAACTTTTATTTCGTGTATCTCCTCTTAGCTATCAGAAATACAGATCGAAAATAGTAGTTGAAAAAAGAAAACCAAGAAAACGCATTTGTCAGCATTTATACATAGAAAAGGAATGCGGTATTCTTGTTGTCTCTAAAGCTGGCCATACACGATTTTTTTTTCTGCTAGCTGGATTTGCGTACTTGTTATTGGCTGCGATGTCAATATCGCCAATATAATCAATACGGTAACAAATACGCAATCTAGTAGAAAAAAAAGCAAAGAGTGTGCCGCTGGCTTTATATTTAGAGCTTTAAATTTACAATCAATTTGATTTGCTCGACAAAAATGTTTTTAAACCATCATATCTATTACAGATCCATACGTTAAAGTATTAATGTTAAATGGAAAGACGGGTAAAAAAATGAAGAAGAAGAAGACCAAATACTTGCGCACAATTGCACAGCCAGAATTTAATGAGACATTGACGTTTAACTTAGCAGTTACACAACTCGATACTGTCCAATTTTTAGTGGTGGTTTGTAGCAAGGTAAATTGGAAAAAAGGTTTTTTCGAAAAATAAACAATAACTTTGTAATATGATTGAAGATCAATACACTCAACAGCAAAATTAAAGTATCATCTATTTTGTTCCTAAAACAAAAAACAAACAAATTTAACTTCGTAAAAACTATAACTTCGTAAAAAATGATCATAATTAATGACACGGAAATATTGTTCATAATATGTACTAAAAATTCCAAAAAATTAATGAGGCTATTATTTAAATTATCAATTTGAAATGTTTCAAACTTCAAATTGTTTTGAATCTCATTATAACTTTTTACAAAGTTACATTGTCTTCAAGTTTATCTATTGTCTCTGGGAGCAGAATAGGTGATGCTTTAATTTTATTGTCGAATATTTAAGGATAAATTAAAAATTAAGATTCAATATAATTCTTGTTATTTTTACATTATTATCTGGATATTTGCACATTCGTTATCCAACTTCGTGGATATTATTTCAGTATCCAGATAATACTCGAGAAAATCCTCTGTTTACTCAGACATTCGGATAATATTTTAAATATCCGTAATGCACAACACAATTCGGATATCCAATTAATATCTGAAATACCCGGATAATCCTTGGAAATTGACAACTTTATTAGATGTAATCTGTAAATAGATCACAAAACTTTTAATAAATTTTAAATACTTCAGAAACGATATTTAAATATTATATTTAAATATTATATATTTACGAGTATAAGGTATCTTGTAAGTTTTTGCCAAGAGCTTTTGTATAGATAGAGCGGACTAAATTGAGTCGAAAAGTCGATTTAGCATTTTGGAATTTTTGCAATAGTTCACGAGATATTAATTACTAAAAATCGCTGAATATTGGTTTTCAATAATTTTTTTACTCAAATACTATCAACTTTACAGAAAAACAGCGAGAGACAAAAATTATTTATTCTCTTTTCATAAAGTTCTGAGAATTTTTTCAGAATTTTTTAATATCGTATTTTCTCATATTGGTAAGAATAAGAATATGTGATACTAAAAAATTGATAAAAAATTCTGAAAAAGTTCTTTTAGAGTTCTATGAGAAGAAAATAAATGATTTTTGTCTCTTGCAATTTTTCTGTCAAGCTGATAATAATTTGAGTAAGAAATTATTGAAGACCAATATTCAGCAATTTTTAGTAATTAATATCTTGTATTAACTATTGCGAAAATTGCAAAATTATAGAGGACTTTTCTACTCAGTTTAGTCTGCTCTATTTATACAAAGGTGCTTGGCAAAAATTTACGAGATACTCTGTATATATTTAATTGATACTTAAACAATATTTAAGTATATATTTAAATATCTAGAAATAGCTGAAATCTTTTTGGTAATATTTCAAAAAGATTGCAGATTCTTTCTGTAACATTTCATCAACCTTTCAACAAGACTTCATATACAAGAATCGCGGACATTGCTATTCTAGAGCTGTTTCAGAAATGTTGCAGAACATTTCGCAACTTTTATGAAATGTTTCACTTTCAATTAAAATATTTCTGAAATATTTCTAAAAACTTTCGATGCTGTATAATTGAAAGATCTTGATAATGCCCTTTAATTCACATGCATTTATCATAATATAATTATATCATATTATACTATCGATATATAAAAAAAAAACTAGAAATGATTAGGCTCTACATTTTTTGTCATATCAGGATTTCATGTTTTATTATGAGAATGAGCAAGAAAGAAAAGAAGCAAGGAAAGAAAGAAGAAAAGAGAAAGAAAAGAGAAAAGAGAGATAGGGAGAGAATTACTTATCTAAAGATAAACGAAACACTATCAAGCTCTTCTTTGCCGTGAGTTTAGATTACTTTTAATTTTATTGATTGAATATACTCGTGAAACAAATGCTTTAAGATTCAATCTCCAGTCTTCGTTTCTCTCTAAATAGTAAGAAAATTATATAACTAGTCTATTTAGATATAATACCAACATATTGATGTTAACTATTTAAAAAAAAGGAATATTATTTTTGAAATAATTGCACAAATTCGATCTATTCCCGATCTATTATTGATTCAGCTTTTTTCTCTCCTATGCTTCTCATTGTCAGTTTCCATTTTTTTTCTATTTATATTTCTATTTATTTCTATTTCTCATCACTTCTTATAATTCAATAGAATTATATATTAACTACATATAATTAATTTAACATTTTGACGGCCGCACTTTTCAGAAAAAAAGTTTGCTCTTGCCGGCATATAATGGCGAAAACTACTGGCTGCCATCGGCACTTTTTGTAAGCTTTATTACAAATTGAAGACATTGATTCTTCATCATCATTGTCTAATACTTAATCGCTAACATTCAATAGGTTATCAGCGTACATCTCATCACACATTTTTAAGAGTATTTTCTGTAAGTTTATAAATATTAATACAACTAAAAAAATTAAATAATTTTGTAAATATAACTTTTGATCTATAATATATAATATATAGCATTTGCTAATGTAACTAATTTGCTAATGTATATAATGTACATATATTAATTATAGTATATATATATATATATATATATATATCATTTTTATTTTTTGCAACAATCAATGCCAATTAATAATCACTGTCTAAGGCCTATTACAATAGGTCGGTAAGCCGTAAAAAAATAACCAATTATAATCGATTATTTTTCTCACATTCAGTGGTCAATTTCTTATGGCCTTGCAATCCTATTGTATATAATAGGCTTTAATCAACTTACGTATGTACACGTGAACTCGGTCGATGAAGGTGCTTTTACATAATTCGCAAATCGCAAAACGTAGAATTTGCAAATGCAGAACGACAATCATCGCATGCAAGACACACACAGACGAAAACTAACTGCATGCAATGAAAAAACAAACGCAAATCTGCGTCTGCGTTTGCGAACTACATTTTGCGATTTGCGAATTATAGAAGTACCTTAAGGAATGCTAAGACGTCTGTTTTACCGACATTTACACATGGTAAAAAATCTCCGAATTGGATTTATGGATTACAAAAGTGTTATTATTGGGTCATTTAAAAAGTATCCGCGGTTTTTTGTCACTAGATGTGTGTTGATGGTCATATATCTAGTGACAAAGTACCGCGGATACTTTTTAGAAGACCCAATACATAAATTAAAGTACGCACAAATAAGACCTTCGCTGCACTGGATTTCATGAGAAATTCGAAAAAAAGTTACAAAGTTCACTTACTTTTGGTTCATACAGCGGTCACCAGGTATATATTTGCTTGATATAAGAGTTTTAGAGTCCATATATTAAAAATAAGCGTCAGCAGAGGTCACATTATTGGAACGAACAATATTGAGTTTGTAGAACTAAGATTGAAAGTATTAAGTATCTAGAAGAAAAGTATTTTCACCGTGTAGAAAATACGTGTATACGGATGCTTTGCGAAGACTGAGAGACGAAATTCCATGTAGCAATAGTTGCGCAGTCTTGCAATAGATGGTGTTAGCATGTTAGCTAAAGACATATGTATGCGTTTGAGGGCTGAACACAAGAATTGTCGTAACACTTACTTAGAGACTTAAGTTGTAGATGTAAGTGACGCACAAGCTTTGGCGTGAGACACTATTTGTTGTCTCTTGGAGACATGGTAATAAGTTGTACGTCACACACACATATATGAAAGTTTATGCGTTACTTACGTCTACAATTTAAGTCTAAGTAAGTGTTATGACAATTCTAGTGCTCAGAACCTAAAACGAAATGATATATGATGTAAGAAATGAATCAAAGATGTCATATTATTTTTAGCATCGCCTTAAGCGTTAACTCAATGAACTCACGTATGCGTCAAGTTGGCCGATAATTGTTGGCTCAATGAACTCACGTATACGTGAATTCAGCCGTCAAAGTGTTAATATCACATTATAAATGATCATACAATAAAAATAACTTTGTAAAAACAGTATATGACAAAATCATATTTTCCTATTATCAATTTTAGGTTTTACCAGAAGGATTACCTGCTAATACCGCCGATGCTAGTGACAGTGAAGATTCTGTCAATTCGTTCAAAAGGTCTACCGGTACTTTTATTGGTAAAGTGGCTCTTGGAAAAGGTGTGAGAGGTTCGACGGAAAGATTGCATTGGTTCTCAGTGCTTCAAAATCCAAGAAAACTTGTTACTGTCTGGCATACTTTGAAATAAAAACCATTATTATTTTATTATATATACATTATACATGTTACACGAACATAATTGTTATTTTTCAGTGATTTTGATAAATTATTATAATTGCAATATATTATTTATTTTATAATTTATACATGAAGTGTTTATAATAAAAGTTTAACTTTACACAACCAGCTCCAAATGATTTTTAAATAACCTTGACATTGATTTTAACCCTCAAGCAGGTCAAGATCATCAACTTTTCCCGTCGCTCATTATTCATTGGAAAGTTATTAACAAAACAATTTCTATAAATGAAATGTAATTTTTGGACAAAGTATATATATTAGTAAAATTAGTAAAAAGACCTAAAGATTCTTGTTTCATGTATTCTTGTCATATGTTACAAACAGAAAATTTTAAAATCTCTTGATAAAATAAATCTCCATTCTCTACATCTTTTGGCCTTTTTCACTTGTAATCACTTATTTATGATAATGATTGTCGTTGATAATGCACAGTCTGGAAATTTTGTGTTACACACACGATCAATAATATTGGGTCATCTAAAAAGTATCCGCGGTACTTTGTCATTAGATATATGACCATCAACACACATCTAGTGACAAAAAATCACGGATACTTTTTAGATGATCCAATATTATCAATTGTAACAACCTATTCTTGAAAAGTTTCATCAGAAAGAAATCTTGAGGCCCGAATTCATGTCGTTCTTCTCAAGTCTCCAATATGAGAACTTGGACACAGTATAAGTACATACAGTATGAACACTATCAGCACCTTTGAGTAGTGAGTCCCAGGTTATGACTCGCCGCCATATTGTGGGTTGAAAAGACGCTTATAAATTTGAGTTTTCATAAAGCTATAAAATGATAAAAAAAAAAAAGATATAATTCAGTCGTATCATGAAAATTGTTTATAGCGAGTATATTTTTAAATCAGAATTATATAATAATATAATGTTAACGAATTCATTATATAAAAATAATATTCATGTTAATAATAATAATATTGGATCATCTAAAAAGTATCCGCGTTTTTTTGTCACTAGATATGTGTTGACGGTCATATATCTAGTGACAAAGTACCGCGGATACTTTTTAGATGACCCAATATTAAACAGTAATAAGTAAATTAAAAATAATAATTGATTAAATATGAAGATTGTAATTGGATAATTATGTATGAAAAAATAATATATTGTAATATATTGGGTCATCTAAAAAGTATCCGCGGTACTTTGTCACTAGATATATGACCATCAACACACATCTAGTGACAAAAAACCGCGGATACTTTTTAGATGACCCAATATTTTATAGGAAGGAGATTCAGCTAACTTAACCTAACCTAACCTACAATTTCAACTTGCTGAAAGCAGCCACATTCCTGGTTGGAAATCAACGCATGCGCACTAAAAATGAAAGCCCACATAAAAAGTTCAATGTCCATACTGTATGTACTTTTTAGATGACCCAATACTTATACTGTGAATCAGATTTCAATCTCCAAACCTAAATTTCAATGATAGTGGTTAATCATCAAATTCAGTTTTTCGTGACTGAGCGAGAAACATGAGACTAAAATAAAACGTGATAGTGCAATTACAAAATGTGAAAATCCATTATTTGAAGAAAGTATTAGGTAAAAAATTAAAATATTCAGCCAACATACTAAAAAATTGCTGAAATTGAATTAGAATTTCTCTGAAAATTTATTAAAATTTCTCTGAATTTTTTGTTGAATTTTTCTGAAATTTTTTCTGAAAATTAATTTTTCAACTAAAAATCGCTGAAATTAAACTAAAATTTTTCTGACATGCTGAAATTTTGCTGAAAAGTGTTTCAAAATGTGAAATAATTTCAGCGAAAATTTAAATAATATATATAATATATATTTATATAATATATAATTTATAATATATATAATATTTTAATTCTTTACCTAATATTTTCTTTGAAAAATGGATTTTCGGTCGACCACATTTGCCGTGGTCCGATTCATGACAAAGCTCATGAGCATCATTTGTCTCCGTTTAACATTTGACAAACAACAAGGATGAAATAATTTTTAAGTGTGTGAGCGTGAATTTGATTCGCAGACCGCCTTTGTAACCTTACCATTGCTCACGTTTTATTTTATTCTCACATTTCTCGCTCAGTCAAGAGAAACTGAATTTGATGATTAACCACTACCACTGAAATTTAGATTTGAAGATTCGAGATTAAAATCCGAGTTCAAGGGACTTGTTGCGATTCTTTAGACGAATTACAAAAATGAGCAAATTTCGCTAGGTGTTAACCAATGAAGTTGTAAATATTCTAGTAAATTCGATTCAACTTTCACCTCGTAATTTTCACCTTGTTTTCAAGAATCATAAAAAGCTCCGTACTATAAAAAGAACAAGAAATAGAGAATAGACAATAATAATTTCAACCTATCAGAAACTATATGTATTCCATAATACATGATTTCTGATTGAAATTCTTATTCTTTGTTCTTTGTTCCCTGTCCCTTTTATTGTGCGGAGCCCCTAATAAGCCTCGTGAGTATCAATCATGAAACTTTATCTATAGGATGAAAAGTGAGAGTGCGTTTACGGGTACGGTCAACGCGATGCTACAAATGCTTTGAAATGTTTTTTAATTGGTCAGTTTGTAAAATTCTTTTTTCTAATTGGTCCATCAAATGTTTCAAAACATTTGTAGCGAGACTTTGACCTACATGTGATGCGACAGAAACTAATTAGGTAACTATAGGAACCGCGTCGCTTACCGTGCTACATGTAATAGAAGAGAAAAGAAGCAAGCGGCACGGACTCTCGAAATTAAAATATTGTAAGAAATTAGGCAAATGATATGTTTATTAGACATTTTTGTTTTTATGCTAAAGCAACTCGAGTCGCTGTAGCAGTTTTAGCACTATATGCAAAGACACTGCATATATGTCGATCGTCAACTTGACTGTTATGCGCAGTTATACTATTATATTTATTTTATTGAGATATTTAAATTTCATGTAATTTTTTCTAATACTTGAAAAAATAATATCCAGATATACATTTATTCATGAATAAAATGTTAATAATTTTATCAAAATTCTTTTAGTGATACATCTGATGTAATGATAACATTAAAATACTCTAAGATTAAAAATCTTATTGTAACTTTTTGGTTTTCTATTAAAAGTCTAATTTGTATAAAAAAATATTTGAAAAATTTTTTAATGTCCAAAATAAAATTAGAAATTTGAAAAATTATGAAATTTACATAAAAAAATCTGAAAAATTTTATGGAAAACATTTTATGGAATATAAAAAGTTCTGAGAAAAATTTTCACTAAAGAAGAAAAAGAGAGCATGTATTTTGTCAAAAACAATTCAATAATAAATTATAAGAAACGATCTTATCTTTGTATATGTACATATATACAAATACAAATAGAAAAGTAATACTACATTTCGATTAAAGTACCATTTTTTAATCTTTTATACTTAAATTCCGATTCTGGGCGTTTATTAACCCAAGCTTCCAATTCTAATTTGTTTAATATATATTCTGGGTCAATGACAGCTTCTCGAAATTTTGAGGTCTCGTCATCCTCTACAGTCTGTCTATTTCTTTTGGATTTCTTTTTATGCTCTATACATTCCTCTTTGATTTTTGTAATAGTTAACAAATTTTTTGATGTACTTAGAAGTTTTATTCCAGAGCTTTTGTCCTTTTTCCATTTCTGTTCATCACAATAATTAGGAATTTCACTGTTTTCCATCTCTATGGTTCTAAAATTTATATTTGAATAAAATGTTAATTTATTAAAAACAATACTAATATTACACATGTACAAAAATTTATTTTTATTGCTTACCGCTCCAAAATTTCATCTAGTTTTTTGGCGATAAAACTTCGAAATGTGGCAGTAACACCAAAATTTGTAAATTCATCTGCTTGTTTTGAGCTTATTTTCAAGAAATAACTTCCTTCTAGTTTGTCAGTCTTTGCTTCTTTTAAAACGTTAAACAATAATTAGCACATCATAATATTTCTATGAGATCTATTACATAAACATACCTAATTACTTTGTAAACCTTGAAGATAAAAAAGAAAGATATTAATTTTACTTACCAGACTGAGGAATAGCTTTGGCTTTTTCTATGTTATACAGATTATTGTTTAAAAATTGCTGATCAATTGCTTCCTTCAAAATATTTGCAAATTTTTCATCTTCAGAACTTGACGAGTCTACTTGCTCACTTGTTTTCTTCATCATTACTTTAATCTATATCTGTAAATCTGTAATTTGTATATAGAATATTTATAATAATTAATGAATACGATATACATAAAACATGAACAAATGTTAGCAGTTTGCCGATTGCAGGTTGCAGACTCATTAACAGTATCAACGTAATTTCATAGCAGAAACAGAGTAGAATCTGTCACTTTATGATTATTTAAATAAAGTATATCGGTATTTATTTATTGGGTGGATCCATATATTCGTTCGGTTTTTGAAGGCTAAAATAAAACAAGTTTTTTTCATACAAAGGATGAATTTTAATCAATGATATATTCTCCGTTTTTGTTGATGATCTCTTGCCATCTTTCCAACAATTTCATTATTCCGCTCTCATAGAAGGTCTGGGGCTTAGAGGCAAAAAACCGGTCGAGGTACGTTTTCACAGCTCTGATCAGCGAACGATTTTCTATTGAGGGAGTTTTGCAGGGACCGGAACAAGTGGTAGTCGGATGGCGCAAGGTCTGGTGAATATGGTGGGTGGGGGAAAACATCCCAGCCAAGTTGCACTAATTTTTGCTGAGGGATTATTACGGTGTGGGTCTGGCGTTGTCATGGTGGAATATGACACCTTTGCGATTGATCAGTTCTGTCACGTTTCTGTCGCTATGCTTGATTCAATTTCGTTAGCTGCGTGCAGTAGACCTTCGAATCGATCGTTTTTCCCTGAGGAAACAGCTCGTAAAACCGCATCACGATGATCCCACCATATGGATAGCAAAATCTTCTTTGGATGTAGGCCTTCGGGATGGCATTCGGCGACTTGCCAGCGGTTCTCCATGATCTCTTGCGCACTATGTCATAGATGATCCACTTTTCGTCGTCAGTCATTCGTTTGAGAAATGGGTCGCTTTCGTGCCGCTTCAGAAGTGAATTGCAGATGGACATGCGGTTGGCCAGGTTCTCCTCGTTCAGCTTGTGCGGCATCTAAACATCGAGGCGGGATATGTAGCCAAGCTGTTGCAAATGCCTTTGAATGGTTCCATAACCTATTTTAAGTGTCTCCGCAATCTCTCGCACCTTTAGCATCCGGTCTTGCTCAACCACTTGCCTTGATATCATTCGAATCAATCTCGGTGGGCCGACCGCTGTGGGGTCCATCTTCAAGACTCGTATCTCCGGAACGAAATTTGGCAAACCATTTCTGAGCATGTTCTGTTAAGGCATCGTCCCCGTATACGCCGCATATCTTTCGGTGGGCCTCCGCAGCTTGCTTGCCTTTCTTGAAATAATAAAGTAAAATATGCCGAAAATGCACCTTATTCTCCAACATGTTCACAGGCCTGTAGCACAAACAAAACTAATGCCAATGAAATCAAATTTGACAGATGAAAAGAGCGGACTGTCACCTTTCCAAAACATATTTGGATTGCCTGATTAGGCAACCAGAACCGGGATAAAATTCGGAAAAAATTTGCACTACTAACAAAAACCGAACGAATATATGGATCCACTCAATAGAATACGGACATCACCGTGAAAATTGATAAAATTATACTTTTCCAATGCGTTTTTATTCGACACAAAAGAATTTGACAGAAAGACGCAATGATCTGTCCCACGAAAAGAATTAATGCCCTAATTCACATCGCATTTAGGGCGGTATTCTTATGGCTCCTGCACACAGAACGCGGTAACACTTGTTTCCGTATGACGGAAATTGGCGCAATAGCCAATCAACATCTTGCTTGCTCGGAAGTAATATATTGGGTCATCTAAAAAGTATCCGCGGTTTTTTGTCACTAGATGTGTGTTGATGGTCATATATCTAGTGACAAAGTACCGCGGATACTTTTTAGATGACCCAATAATTTCCACCACGCGGCAGAAGTAATATTATATTATTTCTAGAAGTTTTGCATGGGGAAGACATAGAATTATTGATTAGTACGACAACTAATCAATAATTGCCGCGTGCAAGCGTTGTCGCGTTCTGTGTGCAGGAGCTATTATGCCTACTGCATACTGAACACAATAAGCGATGAGCGACTAGCGATATCCAATAAAAACTGCATTTTCTCATGTGACGATGCAAAGCAGAGCTTTTATTGGATATTGCTCGTCGTTCATCGCTGATTGCATTCAGTATAGGCCTATTATTTTTGATTGAATTTTTGTACCAATTCATCTTTCTTCCTTTTCTCTCCAAGAGGAAAGAAGAGGAAGAAAGATGATCTGGTGCAAAAGTTCAGCCAAAAAAGAATAGGCCTTATGCAGATATTAGGGAACGGAAAAGCACGACCAATCACAACTCTGCAGTCATTACTCATTTTTTTCTGCAATTGTGATTGGTTTCGCTGTTCCGTTCCGCTGTAAATTACCATTCATGGCACCCTGGGTCCACAATCACAATTGCAGAAAAGAAAGCAGAAACACAATCAATATTAGAAAAATGCCTATTACATCGAAGCTAGATCTTCATTGCTTTAAATAATTCAATCTTGGAGTACTAATATATATTATATATGTACTTACATATATACCATATTGTAGTCTTTTTAGAACTCCGCGCCAGATTGTTTTTCCGAATTATAAACGCAATTAAAACTACTCTAATAATTGCGAATTAAATTGACAAGCAATTAGATAATTTGATGCTACTATCAAGCATTGAAACTGTTAATAAATTTATTGCGAAAAATATTACCTCGACTAGGACTTGAACCCGGATCTTTTGTATTCCGTACGAGCATCTTAAACCATTAGACCACCAAGGCCAACAATTGGAGCGGAACGCTTGTGATTGGTTCCGCTCTTGTTCTACGTTATACTATTCCGCTGCATGGGTAGGCATGCTTAAGGTACGTTCATATCTTGACGGAAAAGCAGAAAACGGAAAAGCAGTGACCAATCAGAACTCGCGCTGGTAGTAATACAAAAAGCCGAAATTGTAAACTACCAGCTAGAGTTCTGATTGGCTGTTGCTTTTATTCGTATGACCGGACAAAACTTCCGGTTGTAAAAATTATTACATTTTAAATCAATATTTTAAATCATTTGTATTTCATATGAAGAGTTTTGAAGTGCAAATAAAAAGATTTGTGAATCATTCTATTAATTACAATTAATCATTCTTTTTTGTACTTGATCGAAATAATTAACCGGATCTAAATTCAACAAAGTTTATATATGGAATCGTTTGTATTTCGTATGAAGAGTTATGAAGTACTATTAAAAATAAATTATTTACTTTATAATATAATTATTTACTTTATAAATCATCCAGACATTTTTAATTAAAATATCATGTATTTGACCGAAATGTATAGATATAGGCGCTATGATCACGGAAATCCATTAGACACGATAGGTAGTCTCTCTAGTACTTTGATATTCCAGTATGGAATTGCTTGGAATGAATTCTGAATTCGGAATTATTTAGCTTTCCTACAATTTCTTTAAAAAACACAATAAAAATGTAGGAAATAATTTAATTATTTTGATCGAAATCCATTCCGAATAATTCCATTATATGTTTCCTGATTGTTATTCGATCAACAAGATGGATGAGTAACTAAAACTGTAAGATAAAATTTTTTGCATCATTCTCTATAATAGATCTCAAATGCTATTGTTATAGGATTTAATTGTATCAGATTTTAAAACATAATACAAAAATTAGAAATTGTTTTACTTGTAGGTTTTAACCGTCACTTCTTCACAATACAAAAGTATTGTGAAGTGTCTGAACATAAGTTAAGTTTAATTTTATATATAATTTAACAAAACTGACATCAGATAGAGAAGGTATCATCAAGCATAATTATGAGATGATACGTATGCAACTATGTTCTCCATTAATTAAAAAATGTAATAATCAAGATGACTATGCAATATGTCTAATAAAAAGCAATACAGAAATAGGAACAAATGATGCTGTACAGTTTCAATTATATTTTTATATATTAAAGTACATTATCGTAAGTCTGATAAAGGAATTAATTTTTAAAGGAATTTTTTATATAAACAGGAAGGTTTCCTCTAAAATTAAATAATGAACAAAAAAGAATTTTGTTTAATTTTACTGGTGATTATCTACATGGAATCGATTATACGGTGACAATTATATGATACATTGTGATTATGATATACAACAAAATCAAATTATATAGATATTATATTTATATTATAATTAATTTTAATATAAAATCTGCTTGTCGATACCTACCTATTAGGTTTTTATTGTTTTTTATTAGACATATTGAATAGTTTTGATTATTGCATTTTTTAATTAATGGAGAACATACGTATGGAGTTGCATATGTATCATCTCATAATCATGCTTGATGATATCTTCTTTATCTGTCAGTTTGTTAAATTATATATAAAATTAAACTTAACTTACTTTCAGACACTTCACTTTGAAGGAGTGATGGTTAAAACCTACAAATAAAATAATTTCTAATTTTTGTATTATGTTTCAAAACCTGATACAATTAAATCCTATACAATAGCATTTGAAGTCTATTACAAAAAATGATGCAAAGAGTTTTGTCTTATAATTTTAGTTACTCATCCATCTTGTTGATCGAATAACAACCAGAAAACGTAAAATGGAATTACTCGGAATGGATTCCGATCAAAATAATTCAATTATTTCTATTGTGTTTTTTAAAGAAACTGTAGAAAAATTAAATAATTCCGATTGGAATTCATTCCAAGCAAGTTATTCCATAACACGTCCTGGAATCAAAATACTAGAGACTACCTATCGTGTTTAATGGATTTCTGTGACTATAGCGCCTATATCTATACATTTCGGTCAAATATATGATATTTTAATTAAAAATGTCTGGATGACTCACAAATGTTTTTAATGGTACTTCATTACTCTTCATACGAAATACAAACGATTTAAAATGATAATTTTTACAATTGGAGGTTTTGTCCGATCACGTACATACGAATGTTGCTTTTCCGTTTTCCGATTTTCCGTCAAGGTGCGAACGTGCCCTAATGGCACCCTTAGGATGCTTACTCGCAACGGAATAGCGTAACGTGGAACGTCCGCCGCTAAATCAAATGCAAACTACTTTCGTCATTTCATTCTAAGAGATCGCGCCACACGTATCATTTTTGGATTAACGTATCTCGACTAACAAAATCTGAATACCGATTAATGACACATGCATTAATTAACAAAATATATATTTTTTTGACGTTTTCAGTTTACCCACAATGTCTTTTTTTATATTAATTTAACTTTGAGTCCCATACAGCACAGAAGATTGAAGCAATATTGCTGCAATGTTGCAATATTGCAGATTGCAATGTAACATTGCAGAGATATTACAGAAATATAAATTATAAATATGCCTGCAAAATGTCAGTAATATGCTTGTAATATTCCACAAACATTAAACTGTAATTCTTTAATTGTTACAATAATAATATTAGATGTACAACTTTGCTTCCGCCGTTTTTTTTTTTTTCCGAAATTCGAGGCTTTATTGTAAAAAATGATTATACATTTACGATTCAAAGTATTGTCCATCGCTGGCCACTACTTTCTCCCATCTTTCGGGCAGCGAATCCCATGTCGAAAAAACTGGTCATCTTTTGAGGCGATCCACGAATCGATCCAATTTTTTACTTCTTTATAAGACCGGAAGTGCTGGTCAGCCAGGCCGTATGCCATTGATTGAAACAAGTGATAGTCAGAGGGAGCAACGTCGGAGAATATGACGGGTGGGATAGGACTTTCCATTTCAACGTTTCCAAGTATGTCTTGAGCACTTTCGCAACATGAGATCGAGCATTGTCTTGCTGCAAAATCATTTTATCGTGTCTCTCGTTGCGGCCGTTTGTCTTTCAATGCTCGGCTCAAACGCATCAATTGCGTTCGATACTGATCGCCTGTGATTGTTTCAGTCGGTTTTAACAGCTCATAATACATTACGCCGAGCTGGTCCCATCAAATACAGAGCATGCCTTGGAGTTGTGAATATTCGGTTTGGCCGTCGACGTGGAAGCAGGCCGGGAACTCCCCATGATTTTCTGCTCTTGAGGTTATCGTAATGAACTCATTTTTCGTTCCCAGTCACAATGCGAATCAGAAATTTCTTTCGTCTTTGCCTTTCAAGCAACTGTTCACAAGCAAACAAACGCCGTTCAACATCTCTCGGCTTCAACTCGTACGGCCCAATTTCCTTGCTTCTGAATCATTCCCATGACTTTGAGGCGTTTTGAAATGGCTTGTTAAGTCACTCCCAATTCTTTTTGATTTTGACACGAGTCTTGATCAAGTAATGCCTCCAATTCTGTATTTTCAAAAACCTCTCTTCCACCGCTATGTCGGTCTTCGACGTCAAAATCATCGTTCTTGAAGCGTTGAAACCACTCACGACACGTGAGTTCTTTCACTAATAGCGGCCTCACCGTAAGTATTCGATGAGCCTCAGCCGCAGATTTCTTCATATTGAAGCAGAAAATTAAAACCTCTCACAAATGATGAGAATTTGACTCGTAAACTGACATTTTCAATCGAGAATAACTTTATGATGCAGAATCGACTATTTCTATGGGATTATATTGACAGATGCCCAAGTTTATTGTATGACGTCTATGATCTATTTATTTCGATCACCACTTACC